TTTCCAGGGGTCAGAGTTTGGTTTGAACAGTAGAATTCTGCTCCCTTAATTCTTTTCTGCGCATATTATGAATCCACATCACTTCTACCTTTTCTGGTGATCCAAACTTCCTGGGAGGTGATCTTATTCTTGTAATTCTTTCCAGTGTGTTTTTATTGACCAAACGTGGAGGCACTGCTAACTTCAGACCCTCGGATGCTTCGCAGGAGGATCATGGTCTTAGAGAGGTCTGTAGAGCACAGAAATTCTGATACCCCTGCTAACAGTAACAGGTATGATTCTCTGAAAGCTGTACGTGACTCTTTGGTTTATGGGACAACGGGTTTTAGTTTATCTTCTGCATATTTTCTGGATCAAGGTAATTTTACCTCTGAACTCTGCATAGTGCATATCGTACTTGGATTCATACTAAACGAGCTGCTTAACTTCTTCGTATTTCACCTGTCAGTGTTTCCTGGTACTTTTTACCTCATGGCAGGGCGTGTTTGCTGCTGCTACTCTGTTTTTACAAAAAGAAGGGCAGCAGAGTACAGGGGATGTATCTCATGCTTGTATGGACTAAACAGTGGCAGGTGTCACTTGGGCTTTGCCTGGAGAAGCCTGTTTGCTTGTCTCCTGTGGCATCCTGTGATGCTTTTCACACAGGAACACAACTGCTGCTGTTCTTGTCCTCACACACCGTAGGAGGTGAGCACTCAGAACAGAATCCATATCTGTTCTTCACATCCAGTACCTAGTAGAACACCTTATACAGTGCAAACGCCTGGCAGACATTTGCGGTCACGAGAGGCTGCAAACTGAGTAATAAAAATGTGAAAATAAAATAATTGTTCAAAGAAATGAACTTGAAGTCTCATACTGGGAGAAAGCAAGACAGTAGCTACTGATAATGTGTGAAGACACTTGGCTAGATCGTTGATTTCTGGTCACCTTAGGGATTTTACCTGTAACAGTAATGCAGGGTATGTTGCTGAGTGCTGACAAGCAAATTTATATATTTATCTCATGTGTTTCCACTTACAGAACCCTAATTTTATGCAGAGTGGTAACATGCTCAGCTGCGCATCTCGCATGTCCAGCTTCACACATAGCTCTGTAACAGAATTCTCCCCATCCTGCACCTCTAAAAGGAGACAGAAATGAGCTCTCACTCATCCCTTCCTTTCTGCTTGGAATACAGCTGTAAGGCACGAAGAGTGGCTGTGCTAGGACAAGGAGGTCACAGTGGAACCAGACTACAGCAACCCCCAGTAGGACAACTGGGAGACATCTCAGCCCTTGATTGCATTGTAGTGCCATCATAAACAGCCTTGATCACACTCCGGTCATGGGTCAGCTTTTCTGTTACTTCTCTGACACAGGGAACACAGCAGACTGGGAGATTCCAGAGCACAAGGCTTTTTAGTTACTTTCGATGCTGTTTCCTGCTGTGGGTACACTAGTCGCTCCTCCCATTCTACACCTTAAATCACAGAATCACTTACTTAGTGCAGAGTATTTCAACAGCTACCACTCATTATCTTGTTTTTAAAAAGAGCAAAGACTTTGGATAGAAAGATTACCTTTAAGAAGACAAACCTTCTGGAAGCTTTAAAATACTACTGATGATCACTCCAAGTAACTCTCAAAAAGAGAATCTTTAGACCATCAGAAAAATATACAACTCTTAGGAGGGCAAAGGGAAGAACAGAGTGGGGTTTTTTTTGGCTATTTATCACAAATAAGGTAAGTTGCCATGATGTAATACTATGATTACAGTTTTAGGTAGTGCTAAAAGAAAAAGCTTACAATGCATAGTGTCTGCAATAATGTATAATGGCATTCAAATGCCTTGACTGAAATTTACTATCTTCTCACCATCAGCATAGTCTAAAATAGATTAATCCCTTTACCTAACTTTAACCACAGAGAGACACAGGTGTCAAGGTAATATCCCCAAGGTACAGATGGCCAAACTGAGGCCACGAGGTTAAGTGATTTCTTAAAGCCACAAAGAAAGCCATTATCAGAGAGGAAGTTAGTCTGAAGAAACCACAGGCCTGCACCTTGACTATGTAAGGAGGGACGTGGTTAGGAGCAGTGGCAACCAGCACTACGCAGAGCAAGGCCTTACTCAGATCACCAGACATCACTTCTCTTCGGACGTAAAGTCCTGTTTTTTCCTGTCTCAGACAATCCTCATACAGAACTTTGGCCTCAGCTATCACACACCTGTCCCATTGAGTTTTTCTGAAGCAATGGGAAATTCCTGGACAGACATGGGATGAACAACTTTCGTATGCATTTGAATGCAAACTGACTACATTTTATTCACTCAAACAATATTTTGACAGAAAGCTCACTGTGGGAGTCCCAAGGAAGACAGGACAGCGTGAATGTTAGGCGGTCTTTTCCATCCAAATTTTACTCTAGAAGAATGTACATGAATTTCACATTAATAAGATGTATATCAATTAAAAGCAAAGCAAAGTTGGTATTTTGTTGCAAAGGTCTGAGATAACCAGTAAGATATGTTGTCTGCCTTCAAAGCCCTGGTTTCTTGCCTTGGCTTCAGAACTTTTTATTAAAAAGGAGTTGCCGCTATAAAAGGTGGGCATCGGATTTCCAAATAAGGTTTATGTTTGTATCAAAGACAGGGCAATTACTTTGGTGTGTTCTGGTTTTGCTGAGGTCATCTTGTTTTGTCGTAGATGTTAGAACAAAGGAAAGTAGGATGATCATGGATGCTGGGAACCAGCTTCAATTCTGATGAAAATGAAATCTTCATGACTGGTTATGAACTGTACTACTATAACAATATGGAGGAATTCAATATGGGGGAAGTTGGGAGGGGCTGGAGGAATCCCAGAGGCTATGAAATTGTGTCATAAAGTGGTATCAAAAATAAAAAAAAAATCTTCGGTATTCCATTATCCTAAACTAAGTGCCTTAATCTTTTCCTTGTACACATTTTTATGAATAGGAACATGGCTGGGGAAAAAAAAGCCACTGTGCTGTGGACTAAGGAGACACACTGACTGTTCACGGGATGCATCATTGGGCAGACACACTCAGTTGTCTGGCAAAAGGATATTGTCAATCAAATACCCAGGAGTAAGGGCAAGTTATGATAATTTCTAGAACCACAGCTTTAAGGCAAAACCTCTAGTCTTGTACACAATGTTAGTAAAAATATGTACCTATTTCTTTATGCTCCTCAGGGAATCTCCATTAATATTGGTTTATTATAGTTTCTACATAAGAACATGAGGTTGGGAGAAAGGTTTACTCCGCAGTAGTACTGTCCCATTTTTCTGGTAAGGGCATCAAGAAAATTCCCAACGTGTCTGAAGAAGCAAAGAGGCAGCTCTCTTTGAGGATATATTGTTCTTCTTAATCGTTATGACCTGTACCCTACAAATCTTTCTTCTGCTTAGAATGTTCTCTATTGGCTGATGAATTTAGGACTTCAACATTTTTTATAAACTTGGAAATCTCTCTGGGACAAATGGTCAGCATGACCAGATCCTACATCTCCTCTAGATGCTTGCTTGCTTGTATGACTCGTCTGCACTTGGTTATGCGCTGCTTTCCAGTGTCTGAACACAAATGGCACTCCACAGTCCCCCCTATTCCCTGTGCAGACGCTTCTTGCAGCATTCACTTGGCATTTAGGATGCATGAACCCAACCACAGAAAGAGGGTACAAATATAAGACTTGCCTCTCTATGATATAAATACTTGGATTAAAAGGGCTTCCATCTTGGATGACCCATTCAAGATGTTCACTGAATGTTAACGAAGCGGTAATAAAACAATACTACCTCATTTAAAGAGGTTTACTTTGGGCTTCTCTAATGCATCAAGATGCAAGTTTTCAAGTTTTAAAAAGCACATTTATAAACCTTAATATGCAGATACATATTTCTTTGTATCAAAACTATATGACTTTTACGATATACACACAAGTGCAATGATGATGCATCTTTTCATGATTAGAAAGCATGCAAAGATGTAAAGATGAATCAGGTAGGTTTTTTCTTTTTTAATGATGGATAGAAAAAAGGTTTCCTCCCACTGTCACCAGGTTCCTTGCTTTCTTCAGTGTAATCTTCTGCGTTGTCAACACACATACACTATTTATAACGGGATTCAGATTTATGAGGCTAACACAGAGATTAATGCAAGAAATATCAGTTTCTCCAGGCATATGTCAGAGGAAACAAGAGACCGTGACTTTCTAGGATATTTTATGATACCAGCGGCTAGATCACAGACCCACCTAAACGAAAATCTGATGGAAGAAGGTAAACGTGGTTACAATTGTTCATACCCCTACTGTGGGAGCTTCATAAACAAACTAATAAATATTTTTATCTTGCAATTACACCAAGTTAAGTGATTTGCTGACATTCTCTTGAGGCTTAAGGCTTGTCCTTAATGTGAAATACAAATCATATTACTTGTGGACACATTTTAATAATAAACTTAAAAGCACACAAGACAAAAATAATGAAAACACAGCAATGAAAACCAGACAAACTATCTACCACTTCAAAAGGAGCAAATGGAGACTGCTCTTCAACACCCTGATACAAACAAGCTCAACACAAAATGCCACATATTGAAATCAGGTTTCATGGAAGGAAGATCAACAGGGAAGAGACAGTTTAAAAAAATGCCATCACTTGAACCCAGGTACCTGACCACAATGATTTGTACTCACCTCACACTTTTGCACAGCATATAGAACAGATTTTGGTTCAATTCAAGTTATTTCTCACTTTTGCAAAATCTCACTAGCAAAAAAATCCAGGTTTAGTCCCTTCTCACCTTAAGAAAGGATCAAGGAACTGATGTAATGTCTCTTAGGACCCTAACATTCCAAGGTTGCTCCCAAGCATAAGAAACTGGGCCACTCATTGCCTCCTGGGAATCTTTGGGAGTCTTCGCTCTCCTTTTGCCACACTGGTTCTAAGGCCATGGTTATGCATAGGCATGGGTCCTGTGAAGCAGCTTACCTCTGGGTCCTGTGATGACGGGGCGGTGATGCTGTGTGAACGCAGTGCCCAGGGAGGAGGTCTGTGAAGGGGAGGGGCTGCTGAAACCAGACTTCTCGGACTTCTTCAGTGTGGTTGGAGATGGCAATCCTGGCAAGAAGAATGATTGGTAAGGACACTTTAGTTCTCATGGTAGCAACCTGTGTAACCTAAAAGATAACATTTAAAGGATCTTTGATTTAAAAAATAGAATCATTGATGAATGGAAAATTTGGTTTTGAATCTCTTCAAATTTGTCACAGACACAAACCGGTGACAGCGTGGTCCCCTGATAAGTCAATCTGTAATTTATTTCAATTTAGTTTATGAAACCACAGTCCACTTTGGGTTTATTGATCTCTGATTATCCAGGGCTCAGCTTTGCCAGCGTGTGTTAATACTGCTGTTTGCATTTACTACCTCTGGGAGCCTGCAGAAGAAGCCGCCACCTAAACTTATGAAGAGCTCATGTGCAAGGACTTCACCACACCTGTGATCTTTCCTCAGCACCAAGATATTTTCTCCACATTTTCAATAGTTTAGCTATTTTAACATAAGAACATCCTCAACAATGACAACTCAGTTCATTCGATAAATTATTTAAAATGGGGAAAAAAGGAAAGGTATACACTAAAAAAAAGCTTAAATGCTCACCAATTGGGAGCTTGTGAAAAGAGGGTAGCTAATGCAGATGACACTACGAAGAGTAAGGCTGTGGGAAAAGGATTTGTGATGTTAACTGAAAACAAACAAGTACAAAACAGGACTTTCTATACCCTCAAAGATATGCCTAACACTTCTCTGTATGTATTGCATTTTTATCATTTCATTACCTTTTTTATTCCTGCCCACTTGTCTCTTTTGATGAAATACATTATTTTTATGTTGAAATAAGCAACAGTGGGCTAAGGTTTACACAACATTTCCAGATTAGGAAATTCTTTGGTAAGAAAATAATGGGAAAAGAGTTCCTTGTAATTGCTGGATTTATAGCATTCTCAGCAAACATGTCAATGCACAATTGTAGGCATCTGCCACTTTGGTAGCAACAATTAAAGCAAAGGAAATTCGGGTGTGAAAGACAGACAATGATTCCTGGACTTTACATCATAGGACAAAGTTGGGCTCCCTCATGTTTCTAGCACACAGTCTGTCCTGATGTCAAAGGAACCAAATACCGAAGATCAGAGTCTACCTATGCTGCATTCTGTCTGGGACTGAGGAATTATCTGGGGGAACTGGAGAAAAAGGTGATCAAATTGGTGATGATATTAGCATGTAGTGGTTACTTACACCTGCTGGGAAACACTATCCACTTCATAGTTACATGTTTTCCCAGATATTGAGTTAACCTACCCTGTATTGAAATACGTTCTTGTTGTTTCTGATCACACATTTCCTTAGCATGCTTCTACAAATCTGACTTTTGAGTGCGACTGCAGACTCTACAAGCAGAGGGACCTATTGTGGCCTTTCTGTGTTTGCATCAAATGGTCAGGGACATATACCAGTGGTCCAAAAAGGTTCTGAGAGGTTTCAATCTGTGTGGCTCTCAATTTTATCTGTGGTTTCACCAGCATATGCCAGGACAAAGCAAGACTTGGGGCATTGAATCAAAAGAAATAAATTGCGAATTGGTGAGATGTTAAGTATCAATATGGACTGCTATGTGCTGTCACGCCAACTTGAGGAATTTGGATCATGTGCTTTCCAGATCAATATTCATGAGATCTGAAGTAAAAACAAAGTCTACTGACTTTAGTTAGACTTTTTTGCTTGTGTATGCAGTAGGCAATGAGTGAATAGTCATATGAGACCAATGCTCCAATTGGGTACGGTGCACTGGGCTTCTGGATGGACAGACACTGCAAGTAACCCAGCTGTTAGGATGCATGAGGTAATTACATTAGGGAGAGTATTTCAACTTTAAAAACATAAATAATAAAAGTCTTTTTAAAAAATAAAAATCCAGTAGATTGTAAACTTCTCCCTAGTTATACAAATTCCTCTGTACAAACCAATTTTTGGGCTGCCAACCAGTCCGCTGATTTAAATTTAGTCAAATGCCTGAATTATGTGTCATGAAACAGAAATAGAAATATAAAATGAAAAATATCAAAAGTTTGCGTGTTTTTTCAAGCTGTAGAAATGAAATCTTGTATCTGAACGAATCTTATTAAAGAAAGCAAATGATTGGATTCAAGAAAAGGTTAGCATTTCTTTGAAAAGCTCTTATTTTCCAGCCCATGCCATCCAAAATACTGCAAAAATGTTGGCAAGATTTAAATCTACATTCTACATTTTGTTCAAAAGAGGAATTATAAGGACAATGTAACAATAAAAAATCAAGAATGCTAAGATAAAGATGTTTCGAAACAGTAAAATTTAAAATCTTTTGTGAAACGGTTAAAAAGGGAAGAAATCAACTTGGGATGTAAGAACAACAAGCTAAACTATGCATCAGTTTCTAAATTTGTCACAGTCAAGTAATATGAACCCTAAGGCTGTCATGAAACTCAAAATTACTTTGGGCTTTCAATTTTTAAAGACTCGTATTGAGCACATTTCCTTATTATATGCTTTAATATTTTCTCTACATGCATAATGTATGTTTGGGCTAATTTGCTCTGTATACTCAATTGACCAGCTGAAATTTCAAAATGCTAGTAAACTGCTCTGTTAAAAGCTAGTGAACATTAATCTTGGCTTTTATTTTGGAAACTAAATTTGGTTTCTGTACATTATTTTAAAAATAAACTTGTTAAATTTTTTTTTTTTGGCCAATTATCTATGTGCAAACTGCTACACAATTGCTGTGTAGATTAATGTTTGATTGGCTTCCTGTTAATGAATCTGAACTTAATGTCTAGGTCTTTTTTAGACATGTTAGGTTTTTGTTTGTTTTTAAGATTACTGGTAATATAATGTGACCCTTTTCTGGAGCAAACCAAATACTTCTTCTAAGTTCAATGTTAAAAACAATTAATTAGAATGAGAAGTCCAGAACAAAGTTTTGTCTCAATATGATACTTCACCATTTTGATTGACATAAAAAAGGCCAACAGAGGTAATAGAATGTGAGGCAGATTTCTGTAAGTATTCTGGCTTGTCCCTGATTTTCCATATATACATTCTTTCTAAATTTCTCTTCACTCTGCCATTTTCCCCCAAACTTTACGCGTGTCATTCCAAATTGTGTTAAGGAGACAAAGGTGGAATTCTCATCATCCAGTGGCAATTATCCCTAGAGGCACTTAAATGTGTGAAACTCATGAGAAAACTCATGAGAAAAAGTACAGGCCAAATAGGTACTCCTCAAGATTTCTCTAAAGCCATCCTTTGTATCTGTGGTTGTCCAAATTTTCAAACGGCTCCTGAGATTCCTGGAGCCTGTAACCCTAACTCGTAGAGCTACGCCCCTAACGTAAGTGTGGACTCAAGAATACGATGGCTGCCACTCTTGTGATTGGGCCGCAAAGGTCAAGGGAGGTTTTGTAGATGCAATGAAGGTTTCCACTAAGTTGTCTTTGAGTTAGGGAAATAGATCTTGTTGCTGGTGGGTTGACCTATCAGGTCAGAGAGACTCTCTTCAGGCTTTGAAAAATTAAGCTGCCACACAGTGGAGGAACTTCAAGAGATAACCACAGGGCCAAGAACAGCAGAGACCTCTTGTTGCTGAGCTCAGGGCCCTTGTCCTTTAAGACAGCTCAGAGGATAGGCCTAATGCTACAGGAAAAAAAAAATTCAGCCAACATTAAAAAAACTGCAAGGGGGGATCCTGAGCTCCAGAAACGAATGCAGCCTCGACACAGTTTTGACTGCTTCCTTGTGAGATTGTGAGCCAAGGACCCAGTATACCTGTATCACAACTCAGCAATAATAAAAAAAAAAAAACTAACAGATATCTATGTACACATTTTGAAAGTTTTTGCACAGAACAAGCTGTCTTCATTCTATGATCTATCTTTTTGAAGCATCCTTGTCAAGGCCAATGCCAGAATGTGAGAAGTAAACATGCCTATTATACATTAATCTCCAGAATCCTGTAAATTTTTATTGTTTTTATGGAAATTTACCCAAGGTTTTAAGGTTTTCTGGCAACTTACAATCTCCCAAGGAGAATGGCAAGACATCTTCTTATAAACAGAACTAAGTGGTGGATATTTCCAAGGACTTGGAACACATTTGAATATTTCTTTTTCCCTTAATTCTTTCCAGAAGCATCAGTAGCAAAATCAAATTGAATGACATTGCGGAATGCAAAACTAATTCTTTGTGCGTCCTGTAAGAAACTGAGGATCTGTTTTAGAACACTTTTACTGCAACTTTACAGGAAGTGAAAAGGTAAAACAGGAAAAAGAATCACAATTAAATTCCCTCCTCTCCACCAAATCATGAGATGTAACAGATACTTTGGCCAAGAACTCTACTGCAACTGTTGTAAAGAAAAGTCCTATAGGAAAGAGAAGAAACTACAGTGCTGTTCTTTGCTTGACAAAATCTTAAAGGGAATATTTATAGAAGTCAGAGGAGCTGTATTATAAACGGGAATGGAGGAGATGGGGAACTGTACCCCAATCCACCATTATTGCAGCGACAATGCAACAACACGCTGGATTTTCTCCAACTTAGTATTTTATTTACTTTTTTGAGATAATATATTATTAATTTACATGATAGTCAAAGGCTTAATGGCTCTACTAAATAGAGTTCCACAAATAAGAGTAGAAAGAAGTAGTCTGACAGGAAATAGACAAGGGCTGTAAACAATAACGAAAAGACATTTAACTTTGTTCATATAAAGTAACTTTTAAAACAGAAACCTAGAGAAAGTAGTTTGAGTGCCTACTATTCTAGAGATTACTCAAAAATTTGCTCCACTGTGAAAACTGTTCATGGTAAATGTTGCTCAGGTAAACGGGATGTTACGTTTTCTGTTTGGGAGATATAATTCAGGTTGTCAGAGAAGATTTAATTGGTATATGTTTTCTGCTTCAAAGTGTCAAAGTCACTTTCATTTGCTTTGTTAATGCAAATTTTTAGTCATAAACTGCTTGAAAATCTGAAATTGAGCAATCTCTGTCCTTTTGTTTGAAAATCCAATGGCTGAG